GACACACAGATGCTCTGCGTTCAATAATATCCTGGCTTCACGTTTGTCGTTTGGTTTTATTAAAAGTGGGTAAATCTATTGATAATGCAGAATCACCCCAGGGTTCAATATTTGTTAAGTTGAAGATGCAGATTCATTTGATCAACCTTTAAATATTGTATATGACTAGCCTATCACGTAAAATGTGTTGAAGCAGTAGCCAATAGGAGTGCAAGTGTTACATAGTGATGTCACTATGTAAAGGAAAGTAGTTTTTACCTCCATATAGAAACAGCAGCACTTTGTAAACTATCATTAAAAGACATAAATGAATGAATATTTGTTCGTTATGAAAGTTGGTTTGAATGTTAATCACAATGAGTTTGTTTTGTTTCTTTAATGCACATCTGAGACATCAAGTAAAAGATCCTCAGTATTTATATTTCTTATATTCATTTATATCTTTCACAAAGTTTGTTCCTTCTCCTTTTTTTGTTGTCGGAAAAAAAACATTAATATTATTCTCAAATTAGTCGTGATAATTCAGTGAAGAAGTTGTTATGTGTGAGAGGAGTGAGACTTAATTAGCATAGTGTAGAATGCAGACACGCACGCACGCACGCACGCACGCACGCACACACACACACAATAAGTAGGCAGCAGTCAGGTTACAGAGGTTTTATTAACAGCAGGTAAAGACAGTGGGGGGTTGTGGGGGTGCAGTGAGTACATTGAAGACATTAAAACTACAAACATGGCCGCCCTGATTGTCCATCAGTCCTGCTGCATATTCACAACGCAGGAAATAACACGGTAAAAAGTTTCCAGACGATGGCTGTTCTCCTGCAGCGTTAATGAACTATCTATTTCATTTCCCTTTATTTCCTGTGCTGACCGTGATCATGATGATGAAGAGGAGAAAGGAGATACAAACAGTTTCAATTTCTACTTTCTAAAAGCTCTTCTTCTTCTTCTTCTTCTTCTACTTCTACTACTGTGAAACACGTGGTGACAGAGCTACTCTACGCAGGTTGCTTTGGCTCTGACTCAAAACATAAAAGGCTTAAAAGCTCTAGAAAAAGATCTAAATCTGTGGAAGAAGGCATCTGCAGCAAATGTCTGTTAAAGGTACAAGCCGTGCTTTTTAAAGGGACCGTCCATGCTCATGGTAACTCGGACTGAGGCAGTGTTTCGTAGATCCTCTCCGAGCTTCTTTCTGGTTTTTGGTCTGTCGTTGTTTGTGCGAGCCCGTCACAGTGCTCTGGGTCATGGTGAGGCTTAAGAGGGCAAACAACAGTGTGTGTCTGTGAGTGTGTGGTCAGTGGTTTGCTCAGGTCTGGTGCAGAGGGAGGAGGTGGGAGATATTGAGGTGTGACGGTGCTTTTCATTACGCTAACGCTAACGCTTCAACCCAACGTTGGGGTAGAGGATCTTCCAGTAAAGTGTTTTACTGAAGTCTTCTATAAAGGCGCGGTGCAGAACGTCTTAAGTTGCATCTGAATCACACCGAGCTGATCAACTCCTTCTGATCGTTGTCTCTAAACGAGCTTTAGATGCCAGATCTACAAATATCCTCATGTTTCATATTCAAATGATTAAACAGACGCACAGGAAAGTGGTATTACCGTGGAGTCGGCACAGAATAAGACCGTTAATCGATCCTTAGACGCTCCATGTAGAAATAAGTAAAAACATTTGTCGAAGGTTTACAAGCTCTGTGTCGCCTGGTCGAAGTTTTCTAACCAGTTTACAGAGATAACCTAATCAGGTTTACGCATTGGGTTAAAGTTAATCCATAATTAGTTTGCAACCATAGACGTCGCTTAACACTCCTTTACGTGGCTTGGGTATCTACGTTTCTTCTGCACGTTTTCATACCAGTTACAGATTTCTAATATAACTATACTGGGCTTCCTGTATGCATTGGGTAGAACATCGTAACGACCTCAATCAAACCCCATACCTTACATTTATAATTGTATTGACAACACTGTTAACACTAACCAATTAGCATCTTCTCGTTAGCATAATGAATAGCACCGTGTGTCTGTTAGCTATGGCAGCATGGCGGGAGTGTCGGGCTGGGTCTTGGTTTGCTGCTCGCCCTCTGACAGTAACCCGGGACCCAGGTGCCCCCCCGTCGCCGCCCTCAGTCTGCCGTTCTGCTGCTCTCTGATTGGCTCCAGAAACACCACATGCTTGTTGTTGGTACTGACCTTGCGCCCGGGTCCCTCGGTGGTTGTCGGTGGCGTCGGGGTGAGGATGGAGGATTGTGCGCTTCCTATCAAGGCTTCATTTGGGGTGGCGGTAACTGGGCTTGGTGTTTTGAGGCAGGCGGGGCAACGACATGGCGTCAGATACAGATACATGAGAACCACCACCAGACTCACCACGCAGCCCAACAAGGTGGTGAAGCCCGTGTTGAACGGCTCCGAAAGATCGTCTTGCAGCGGAAGCACCGTCACGTTCACCTCATGGCTCTCGTTGCGCCGCTGCTCCGAGTCAAGAGACAAACACCAGTAAATCCCAGAGTCATTGGATTTGGCCTTCAAGATCTCCAAGCTGCCGTTAGGAAACATCCTGATGGTGCCGTTGTTCCCGGGCGGCGCCACGTATTCCTGCCGCGGAGAAACCCAGTGGAAGGTGAGTTGGCGACGGGCGAGCGAGGTGACGCAGTGAAGCAACAAACGACCCCCCGTTTTCACAGAGACGTTGCCCTCCTGCTGGATCGAAGTCATGTCACACTTCTCGAAGTATCGGTCGTGTTGGAAGAAGCGAACGATGCCTCTTGGGATCGCGAACACCAGGCAGACGTGATCCTTCCTGAAATCCGTCATCGAGGGGAATCCTTGTTGTTCCCACAGCCGAAACAAGCTGAACATGGCGCATTCGCACACCAGAGAGTTGTTGTGCAGGTAGAGGTTTCTCTGTAGAGTCATGGGCAGGTCGGAGATGTCCTGAAGGGGCAGTCTGTTCAGACGATTAGAGGACAAATCCAACGTGGACAGGTGAGGCTGGCTGTGCAGCGAGAAAAAGGGAAAGTCAGTGAGTAGGTTGTGGCTGAGGTAAACCTTCTTCAATCCGCTGAGTCCCGCAAACGCTCGGCTCTCCACCCGGGCGATGCGGTTGTCGAACAGCAACAACTCTTCTAGCATCGGCACGTCCAGGAAGAATTGATGCTCCAAAGCTCGCAGCTGATTGGACGACAGGTCAATATGTCGCAGTCGAGAGGTGTTTCTGAACGCCCCCGGATGGACGGCGCTCACCTGGTTGTGAGATAATCGTAATGTTTCCAGTCGGTAGAGTTCTTCAAATCCGCCGCCTTCTAGTTGTTGGAGACGGTTGTGGCTGAGGTCAAGAGTCACGGTGGAAACGGGCATTTCTGAGGGGGGTCCGGTCAAATTGGCGTCGGTGCAGCTCAGGATGTCCGAGGCACAGATGCATTCTGGGAGAGAGTCCTGAGGGAGGCAGGGGGAGGCTTTGAGACTCACTAACAACAGGACCACGGACCACCATGATGCCTCCACGCCCCGCATGATGCCAGCCATTACTCTGGGATATATCTCTCTGTCACTCTTCAGAGAGTCGCTTCACCTCCTCATATCTGTTTGTATCTCTAATACCATCTAAAGGGAGACACAGGGTCCCGCCATTCAACAAAGTCACACTGAAAACACTCCTGTGTGCTCCGGTCAGTCCTCTCAGTGAACACAGAGCACGCTGAAGGCTCTCTGAGCAGCTTGGCTCTCAGGGATCCGGACGTTATGTTCAATGCTTGTTGTTTGTTTCTCGTGTGTCTCGATGTCTCTCTGTTACGCATGGAGCTGCTGGGATGCAAGGAGCATGTCAGACTTCATCTGAACCATAAAGTATTATCGCATCGTAATATTTGATGCATGCTTCTTGATTAATATAGTGCCACTCTTCACTGTTGCTGTTAGAGTAACGTCCCCTCTGTGGGACGTAGAGAGGTGTTCTGATTCTGCTGCGAGACTCATCCACTCTGACGTATCAAACTAAACTAAACTCTGAGCAATTGAAACCGATAATCTCCTCCTCGTGAGTGAATCGATGAAGTAGCTCCATGCACTGAGTCTGAGTGCAGCCTCTCTGCTTTGTGTCATATTAAAGTGAATCCCTTTGTGGTCTGGACTAGCATTCCCTGGTATGAAGCACCTAACCGTGAGTCAGTAAGCAGTCCGTAGCTCCTGACTTGTAGTTCCAGTGTCTGCACACGTCGCTGTAAATGTTCAAATTCAGACGGAGAGCTGATCTGCAGTCACAACACTCCGGCGTGCTCGTTTGTTTGGTGAGACCCGGTTAGTGTTGAATGAGGCGATCGCACACGCGTCCACCTGGAGGGTAAACACCAGGAAGCAGAGCGTCAGGGAGGTCCAGGCGAACAAACCCAACCAGCAGGCGTGAAGACAAACCAAGCGTGGAAACACAAAGTGGATTCACATCAAAGATATTCCTCCGTCGTGGGTTCTGTTCCAAACATCGCGCGGAGACTTCCTCTCATCACACACACACACACACACACACACACACACACACACACACACACACACACACACACACACACACACACACACACACACTCCTGATGACTTTATCTCCGGGTCGAACGCCTTTTCATTTCACGCTCCGCTCATTCTCCAGAGACGTGAAAAGGCTGAGTGTGTTTTATATCTAGATGTCACTTCCTTCTGTCTTCGTGTCGCTAACGCAGCGGATCAGGCTTTCAGCGTCCTGCCCTCCTGCAGGAGAGACACGTCTCAGAGAGGGAAGATCTGCCTCCCTCCTCCTCTCGCCTCGCTAGAAGTGAGCTGTCTCCCCCCTCTCTCTCTCTCCCCCCTCTCTCTCTCTCTCCCCCGTCTCTCTCTCTCTCTCTCTCCTCTCTCTCGCCCATCAGACCCTCCTCTTTCAGTCGCTTTCTGTCTATTTCTGTTGCAGCCGTCAAACTCACACTCTGTTGTTTTCACCCTCTGTGGCAGCATCACAGAGAGGGGGGGGGAATCTGCAAACATCCTGTGTGTGTGTGTGTGTGTGTGTGTGTGTGTGTGTGTGTGTGTGTGTGTGTGTGTGTGTGTGTGTGTGTGTGTGTGTGTGTGTGTGTGTGTGTGTGTGTGTTCAGATCTGTGTGTGTTCAGATCAGTGTGTGTGTTCAGATCAGTGTGTGTGTTCAGATCATTGTGTGTGTGTGTGTTCAGATCAGTGTGTGTGTCCAGCTCAGTGAGTGTGTGTCCTGATGAGTGTGTGTGAAGTGGTCGTCTGGAGATCAAGAGGTTGCTGGTTTGATTCCCGGCTCTGCTGTCAGTGTGTGAGCGGCTTTGAGTTTTCTGTTGACTAGAAGAGGACGTCAACAAAGAAACATAAATATTGTTTGATTTTCATGTAAGTTGGTGAAAGTTGGTTGAGGAAGGACTCGTACAAATGTATGATCTGAGTCACGGGGGGAAATGTTCCACTTCTGTAGTTCTGTAGGTGTTAGTGCATGTAAATGGTCCGCAGAGGCTCATGTAGGGGACGTGTAAGGAAACAGGAAGCAGGGAACATGATAGGAAAAAGGGAACGGAACATCTAGTGAACATGTAGCGAAACAGGGGACATGTAAGGAAGCAGGGAACAAGTAAGGAAACAGGGAACATGTAAGG